AATCAATATAAAATATTGACGTAGTTTAACCGTAACCACAGAAATAAAAGAGGATAGAAAAAGTATGGGATGGGAAGGACAGACAATCCAAGTCCCTGTTTATCGGATTCAATAAGTCTCTTAAATGTCTTAATATAAGTAATCGAGATTTTTTATTTTAAATATTCAATCAGTTGTATTATGATACTTTAATGTGTTAGATTATTTTCTGTCACATGAAAAAATCTATCGTTTCAGGAAAAGACAATTACATTTTACTGTGTTTTGTCCAAGTGAATGAAATTTCCTTGAGTTTGGTTTACGTTGGGGTTTAATTAGAGAGAGATCAAAATTCCCTATTTTATGAAATGATTTTGGCAAACAACAACGTGTTTACAATGATTTCAATAATTGGGTGTTTACAACTTTGGCAAACAAAATTTTTAATTTTCAATAATTATTTGAAGTTTATTTATGCAAAAAATCAATAAAGTTAGTGATCGTTTTGTTCAGACAAAATGAGGTGTAAAAATTACTTTTGAATGTCACGACTTACCATACGAAGAAACATCATCTACACCCAAAAAAATATCGTTAACTCTTTCATTACATACAAGCGATTGTGGGAAGGAGAAAATCGATCAAGAACTTCAAGTGCACATGTAATTTTATCAACTTACTCAAAGTTTGGTGGTGGTTTGACGTCAAGCCGTGGCCAACCTTGTTACAGGCGATACTATCTAAGAATTGCTTCATTTGTTGCAGCTATAAGCAGTTGGGGGACAGTTTTAGAGGGTAAACTAAATAAAACTTGGGCATTATTTAATTAACGTGCACGAACATGCAATAACAATTTGGCCAACGAGTTTTTTTTTATTTTTTATTTTTTCATACAAATAATATTAGAGGTGCGAGATTAAACACAAGATTTCAAGTATTAAACAAACATTCTGAACTGCTCGAGTTACATGTCCGCTTGTGATTTGGATAACTTGTTGAATCTGTATCTTTTGCTTAATTATATCTACATGGATTTCGTTCATTATATTGGCACTTAAAATGTGTGGCTATCAGAATGGCCCAATCTTTATCCTGCTTAAGAAGTAAAAGGGACTGCTGTAACCATTTTTGGTCTTTCCACATCCGAAAAGGAATATAATAGTATAGTTTCTAAACATGATGTTCAAAAAGTTTTTTGCCCATCAAACTAGGTCATTGCACAAAACAACCTTACCGTAAATTATGCACCCAAAAAAATAGTAATGCTATCATAAATCTCTAGTTAAAGAGTAACTCAACAAGGTATCAAATGCAACTCACAATGGACTTTTTTTATTAGTTTCTGAAGATCAGTTATGTCATCTGTAACGTAGCTCACATTTGTGTAGAAGCACCAGGATCAAGTCATCCGCAACGTAGCTTTCATTTTTGAAGAAAAATTTGTACATAAGAAGCTATATATTTTGATCTGACCTGACTTGTGTAAAAAGACAGCCTACCGAAGTTTCCCCTTCAGTTTATGTTGCTAAATTGTTTTGTTTCGTGACTCCTTCAGTTGGCCTCTCTTTCGCATCCCAATGAAAGACTTGAACATGATCGCATTCAGCAACACATCAGGCCCTGAATTTGTTATGAACCACGGCAAAGAATGGCTCAAGTAGGGTATGCACAGATGCTCATAACAAATGCATCTCATGCTTGCTTTGCGATACTTCTCTGGTGATGCAAGGAAGAAGGAAGTTGGCTTCATCCTTGTCATCTTTGCTGCCACCAAACTAGGAATCTGCATTGAATCGTATGCAAGGGGATTATATGGAGGACTTCGTAAATACCACAATCCTAGAAAACAAGTGAAATAAATTCCGTGGATTCGATCTTTTTCAATGAAAATCATCACTGGTAAATCAGCAGCCTAAAGTGATCTTTCTTCCCCCTCAATTTTATCTAAGAGGTCTTTTTATAACCATGTCGTTTTTAGTTTTTAATTTCGTTGTTGTGTTAGAAAAGTGATGTAGGGGAAATGTATAGCAAAAAACACACAAAATGAAAACTATTTGGAGTTTTATATCTACGGCTCAATACTTTAAATTTACACAAATGAAAACAGCCATTTTCACTGAATTCCAAAAGAATAAAGAAGAAAACTTAAAAAAAAGAAAAGAAAAGGAAGAATTAATTAGAACCTGACACTGAATGTCAATTCCTTGCCGCTTGTATTCCAAACTAATGCATTTTGAGAACTTTGATATGAACCTGCCAATACCAGATCTATGTGACAAGTTACAAATTTTACATTGGGCATATTTTCGAGAGTGAGTAGTTTTTAAGTGTGACTGTCACTCCGTCCATCACCGTCTAGTATTAGCAATTCACTCACATTAAACCACGTTTGATAATAAGGCTAATCTAATTGTAACCCATCATTAATATATATATATATATATATATATATATGAAACAAAGGCTTAATTATTAAACTACTTTAAGCAAGAAAACTCACGCTTTGGAAGCAGCATAAAGAGTGTAAAGAGGGTAAGAAGGGAGTGTCTCAAGAGGAAGCAGAACCAATGTTAACAATTGCTCCTTTCTTCTTCCTCAGCATAACTGGAAGCACTGCCCTAGTGATCCACGTGGCAGCCTCCGTGTTCACCTTCACAATGCTCTCCATCAGCTCCAAATCAACCTCATGAAAAAACCTTGCATAAGGGTAGGCCCAGAGCCGGCCTTGAGGGTAGTCCAAGTAGGTGCCCGCTTAGGGTCCCTATTTTGGAAGGGCCCCCAAAAAATTTTTATATCCTGTAATTAACATATAAATATAAACGAAAGTAAGAAATATCATAATTCATTTGCTAATGCAGTGGAAATGTTGGCTTCATTTTTCTTTGGGGTGTTAAGTTCAAAACACGAAGCTGCCTTTCAGTCACTAGATTTTTCTTAATTTTTCTTGTTTTTCAAATTTACAACCAATCCATCTATTCAACTCCCAATCCATATGTTTAAATGCATATAAAGTTATAAAACTCAAGTCTCTTTGCAATCTTTTTTCTTATAACTTCTCATTCTCTCTATTTCTATTGAATGTTTAAACCAACTATTATATGGTCTTAAAGATTGTACTTTAAGGTAATCAAAACTTTGAATTATATATTTTTCTTTTCAATAACTTTTTATTCAATATATTATTTTAATATTCAATTCGTTAGTGTGATGTTGATTTTAGAAAAAAAAAAACAAGAGAAACAATTGGCGTTGAATTTATTATACTCGTCAATCAAGTTTTATTGTTAAAACTCTCTTGATCATCAAGTTTTATTATTCTTCACTCTCAATCTTAAAAAATTGACTGCAAACATTTAGTACATTTGTGTCTAAAAACATGAATCGTCTAATGTTTAAATAATGTTTGTATATTTATCTTCTATTGATATTAATTTTTAATGATATTATATGTGAAAATAGAACTTTTTACGTATTTAGTGAATTCTTCTTTATACAAATCAATATACAAAGAACTAGAATTCAGAGAATTTTAGGGCCCCACTTCAAAGGATCGCCTAGGGCCCCCGAATTCTCAAAGTCGACCCTGGGTAAGCCACCCAGCATTATTTACCAAAATGCCCACATCAATCCCATCGCATCAGCAATTTCCAGCCCACTAAACTTTGCCAGATCAATGGCAATATCCTTGGTGTGAATTTTCTCACCGTATTTTTCGTGCATTTCATTGGCGTTGGCTTCGAGCTTCAAAGGGTTTCGGCCAACTAAAACTACGTTAAGACCCTTTGAAGCCATTTCGAGGGCTAGGGTTTTTCCGATCCCGTCAGTGGGGCCAGTGATGAGAGCCCACGGGCCGTACTCCTTGAGATTCTTTGGGGATCTGAGGAACATGAGCCAGACCCATGTGAGAAAATTGATGAAGGATTTGCAAGGAGAGATGAACCCTAGAGTGCTTACTGCCACTAGGAAAAATTGTTGGAATTCCATTGCCAGCAATTCCAGTAGAGAATTTGGTAGGGTTTCTGGTTTATAATAGGAGCAGTCAGCGAGAAGGAAAATTCATAAGAGGAAAAGGGAAAAGGAATAAACATTCCATTTTTCATTCATACTCTCCCAAATGGTGAAAGTTAGTTCTTATACAACCCTAGAGAAGGAGTGCCCACGATTGGATCACATCACATCACAGCTTCCCATGCCGTTGGATTGAATGATACCGACTCTTACAAAAGAAAAGACAAAATGCCATAAAGGCTAAACACCTAAGTACCATATAGTCCAAGGTCCTAACAGTTTATTAGTAAGAAGGCTTGACGCGGGCAAGAACAATTCAAGACGACATTTCTAAAAGGGTGCAGACTAGTAGCAAACTCTAGATGCCAGTGCAACTGGCAATGTGTGCCAAATGCCACGAGGGTGATATGATTTTTTTCGAAAGGTTCCTTAGTAAAATATTGGCTTGATTACAGCTAGCTAGGCTTCGATTAAACTCAATTGTTTTCTCACTTTGTCTCATAAAACTTAAAATGTATCACTTAACCCTCTAAAAGTCTATTTCTTGTCGCAACTTACCCCTTCATCAACTCCGTTAACTAATTCATTAAAAATTCTGGCAAAGTGAGAAAACAATTGAGTTGTATGAAGCGTAGCTATAATTAATTAAGCTTAAACCATTACAATTGGTAATTGCAAGTAAACATAATAGATGCTACTAAAATAGGTGACTATCACGTCAATTGCACTATGATTTAATAATATTTTTCTAATTATTATGAGACATTTTAAATTTGATTATCATGAATGACGAGTTTGATTTGCTAGTCTATTACGAGGATGCATAAATCTTCGCTCTTAATATAAAAAATAAAAAAATAAAAACACATTTTCTCGAATTAATGAACATCACATCATATCACATCACATGTTTTGTTTTATGAAAGCACATCATGTATTATATATAACTAATGTAAATGAACGACAAATTTATGCATAAGTCTAAATTTAGTAACCGATTGGTGCGAACCAAATTAAAAAAAACGTGACAATGTTCCCATAACTCACAATAATTTTCCTATTCATATAAGTCCTTTGTGAATTTGCTTCTTATTATATTATTACTTAATTACTGCAAACCAAATACACATCAAATTAACAAACCTCACAATCTCAACCAAAACAAAGAACGTACACAATGGAGTTTCATGGTATTCGTGTTGTTTGTTGCATCCTTTTCAATTGGCCAATCTTTCGCAACCGAAGGGTGTACCAAAAACACACAGCAGTCACAAACGCATCGGGCAATGTACGTACTATGAGCCACTGCACAGAGTGCCCCCAGTAGGGCGAACAATGGTGCTCATAGCCAATCCATCGCATGCTTGCCTTCCCGTACGTCTCTGGTGATGGGAAGAAGAAGGGAGTTGCCTTAACCATTGTTAGCTTTGTTGCCACGAACATAGGAATCTGGCACTGAATGTCAATTCCATGCTGCTTGTATTCCAAACTAATGCTTCTTGACAACATTGAAAGGTACCTATATAACATGACGCATACATTCTTAATCATATAAGCGGTTTAATATACGAGAAAATGTTCATTTCAAAAGATAACCAGTTATACTGAAGACTTTCTCAAATCGAAAGTTCGTAAAATTAACTGGGCTTAATTTTCAAGAGGGTCAAGACATATTTGCACAGACATACTAATCGTCTAACCACGAGATATGAAAATATGAAATGAAGTTTGGTAAGAACCGATATACACCCAAATCCTAATCCCATTTTCACAACTTAAATTAATTTGAAGCAGAATGTTGATTGAAAAAAAAAAAATAAATAAATAAAATTAAGCATGAAATGAACTCACGATTTGGAAGAAGCATAATTAGTGAATAGAGGAAAAGAAGGGACCGCATGAGAGGCAGAGCCAAGATTGACAATTGCTCCTTTCTTCTTCTTGAGCATACCTGGAAGCAATGCCTTAGTGATCCACGTCGCAGCCTCCATGTTCACCTTTATGCTCTCCATCACCTCCAAATCATCCACCTCATGGAGGAACTTACCAAATCTGTAAGCCACTCCTGCGTTATTTACCAAAATACCGACATCGAGCCCTTTTATCTCTTCCTCTATGGCATCAGCTATTTCCTCCCCACTAAACTTGGACAAGTCCATAACAATGTTCTTAACATCAATTTGTCCACCATATTTTTCACGTAATTCGTTGGAGGTAGCTTCAAGCTTTGAAGTGTTTCGATCAAGCAAGACTAGGTTAAGACCCTTTGAAGCCATTTCGAAGGCAAGGGCTCTACCGATACCATCAGCAGAGCCCGTAACGAGAGCCCAGGAGCCATACTCCTTGAGATTCTTTGGGGGTCTCAAGAACATGACCCATACCCACCTGAGAAAACTGAAGGAGGATTTGCAAAGAGAGATGAATCCTAAAGTGCTTGCTGCCGCTATGAAAAGCTCATGCAGTTCCATTGTAGGTACTGAATCTACTGATCAGTTTCTCTTTTAAAATGAAGGACTTCGTTTTGTAAAGCGACTGCAGGACAAGTTTGAGTCGCTGAAAAAAGGGACCGTGCTATTAGGTATGATATTCAGAAGAGAGAAAGGTCGTTGGATGAAAAGAAAGTAGTTGGACTGGATGAAAAGAAAGTAATTGGATATTGCAACGCTAGTGGGTGACAAAACCATACTTCTATGACTGTGGGCGGAACCATGGTCCACCGTCAATAATATTGACGTTGTTTCAATTTAATCAACTAACATTAGTTGTTGGATATTACCGCAAAAGGTTTTAATGATACTTGAGGCGGAAATTTTTATATATTAATTGTTTTTTTTTTTTTATATGACTAATGTGGAATCCTATTCTTCAACATATTTCCTCACAAGTGGCCATACGGGGTCACAAGAAAAACCAATCCCTACATCAAGAACTGGTTGCAACTTATGGACAAAAATGTTGTTTATCTTATAAAAGTTGTTTATCTTACGAAAGAAAATTTGTTGTCATTTATAAAATTTTATATATGACTTGAAAGTTGATAATATAATTTAATTTGTATATTTTATTTGTAAATTTAATCTCCTTAACATTATTTTTTTTTAGTGGGGATATAGCCACTGCTGGGCCTTACATCGGAAATCCCCCTTTTCTTTAAACCAATGGAGAGGCGCCAAGCCTCGAGAGTCGGGAGCAGAGCGCAAGAAGCACCATTGGTCCGAGTGAGCATAGATTTTTTTTGGGACAGGTGCATGAAGTAGTACATCATGTGTCATTATATAAATAATGAGATATGTATGCTAAAAAAATTAATAATTTAAAATATAAAATTTCTCATAACTTCTATTAAAATAATAACTTAAAATATAAAATTTCTCATAACTTCTATTAAAACATATGATGTACCATTTATATTTCTGTCACAATTAAAAAATTTTCCTGAGTGAGCCCAAACTGTATGCAACAAGCTTAGCCAATCCGCTGAACCGCAGCCTTTGCATGAGCATCTGGCGTTGGTATGAAGAGGGACGACCTCTGGATCGAAGCAACCATTGGCGCCAATTTTGTTGCTGTATGATATGATACCTGACCTTGCACATCAAATAGTATAATAGTAGATTATGCTATTGCATGCATGAAATATAAACAAAAAACTCATTAGTAGTTAGGTCAAAGGGTTTTATTCCACAGCAGTACACGTCACGTATAGGCACCCATAAAACTGCGTGCAGTAGATAGCAGAGGAGTTGCTGAATGCAGTTAATAAGTTGGTTCGCTTCCAGAGATTTTTCAGTTTGTCAAGAATAGAAGATAAAATATTATATGTCATTATATAATTCGAGAAGTACTTGAAACCAAAATTCCTTTAATTACATAATATTTGGTATTCCGTTTCATGTTCTAAACACACTACACGTTAGAAAATTTATGGCCTCACGGACCCCACTTTCATAAGGGGCATGTTAGGTCCGCTTTTGTCCAGAAAACAAGTGATTAGTTACGGGTTCATGTTCCTATCCCTATATATAAGCATGAATGACGACCAGCTTTTCATTTTAAACCACAAAGCTGACAGTTTTAATCTTCATATAACATTTTAGAATAAAAAGATAGTCGTAAAAGTAGAATAAGGTCTGGCTTAAGCGGTTGGTAATCCCCCATATAATATACCGTTGGTTTGATTTGGTAATTTGGTTTTATTAATGAAGTGTTTGATTAAGAGAAGATGGTCATGAGATATTGAAAGTGATTACCATAATTGCATTTCCTAGGGTTTGTGAAGACTCTGAGGCCACGTCCGGAAGAGAGGGTGTGGATTATACATGTTCACCTGTAATATTCATCTAGTTTTCTTGAAGTGTGATCCGAATAACTTTGGAGAAGAGTTTATATACATACATACATACATATATATATATATATAGTTGCAGCTTTTATTGTTGAGATCTGGCATTGGCATTGCGTTGGGGAGACTATTGTAGTTGTGGTCCGTGAACTTGCACCCTAGTTTAGGAATGCACGAGTCCTGGTAAAAACTTAGCTGCAAGCCTGCAACGGGTTTCCGTATCCCTCTTCTTGTAGTTTTCCTCATCATGTGATTAGAGAGATGAAGAAAGAAGAGGGTATGAAACCCCGTTGCATGCAAGTTCTTCCAGAGCCCTTGAGGATGCTTCCTCTCCATAACTATAACATGATGATTCACAACAGCGACAAACTATTTGTGCTTGAAAAATAAGAAGATTATTGGAGAATCATTGCTTCAATTGTTAGAAGGTAGTATAACTCATAATACGTGAAAAGGTTGTATTTACACATCAAGTGACGCTAAGCCTTCATAAACTAGCTAGAATAAAACACTTCTTCCTGTGTCTGGGAATCACCACAAAAATTTGCTATACTTTCATGAAACTTCCATCTCTTCTTAATCGTCAGTTAGTTTTGTTTATGCCGGCCAAGCAATAATGTTGTCGGAATCTTCACAAAACAATAGCACCTTGTGATCCATCAAACTTCCAGTTATCATATACCTTTCCATGATACTTGGCTCACAGTAGGCCTTGGTGCTGAGTGTTACAGCAATAATCATGATTCTTGTTCTTGGTGAAATGGATCATCAACACCGTGTGCAGAACTCAACCTGGGAGTGGGAGAGTGGTTCCAACGTGTCATCTGTTTCAGCTCATGAGATCTCGTACTCGCTTCTTCTTTGAACTTCGTGAAGTACATCGATGACCAGAAATCTTTTGCCAAGTTCTTCACGAAGAGGGTAAAAAAAGAGAAAGAAAAGCTTAGAAATTTTCTGCTGTAATATTGAACTAATTAGAAGTCAGTTAAAGAAAAAGTTGTCTGAAAAATTCATCCTACCGTTTTCATCAATTGTATCAGCTCATTTAAAGCATCATGAAAAAGATTTGGTTGTGCCAGATTGGAAGTAGTCAAAATCGCTTGTCTGCTTCGGTGAGAAATGTTAACTTCCATTGCTGCACCTGTATGGTCGACATTGAAATACATACACACACTTATGAGAGTTTAGTTAACTCCAAGTTATTGTGAGACTAGGTTGAAAAAAGTAAATTCATATCGTTACGCAACTCAGTTAAAAGGTAGATTTTCACTGACGCGATCACAAACCTGCAATTATGTACTTGTCAATGATATGCCTTGCCATGTAAATCCTTCTTACAGGATCATCCGCTGGTATTTTACCAAGTTCATGCACTTCCTCATAAAAATGGACATTCTCCCCTGCCAAACAACTGTGAATAAACGAACAAATAGATTAAAATAAATACTCCACACAATTAATTATTTATTCCTTATCACAATTGTCTCTACAAATAGATCCCACTGAAAGCTCGTGATAAAAAACGTATAATCTTTGGAGGTTCCATTTGGCTGGATAAATTTACATTCAACCTTTGGGCAATTCGTTAATTCTTTTCAGTTAGCTTTAGGAGAAAGTCGTGTTCTGTACTCAAGAGGTTATTCTGGCATAATAATTATCATTGCAAATGTATTTCAAAATATGTAACTTTGGGAAGAACGGAATACCTGTCTGCAAATTTCATGAAGGACTCACGGAATCTTTTGTTCATAAGAAGTTTATCAAGTGGCTCATCTGGACCTATCACAGGTGCTGGTTCCCTTGGCAATAGCATTCCGCTGTTAGGAATCCCCAGAGCCTGACCCATTGTCTCAAATGATAGGGGCTCCCTTTTCCTCAAGCTGATTTGTGACAGAAGAGGTTGTGAACTTGATATCGAAAAGAAAGCTAAGACAAGAATGCTTGCCTATAATATATACCTTAGAAATGTTAGCACACGCATGACACATGAATAAGACTTTTACACAGAACATAACACGCAAAGGTACTACCGGATGATAAATCATACCATAACTAAGAGCACAAATCTTGAGGCAACTTGAAGATATGAGATATCTTCATGAATTTCATTCAAAAAGTAAGCAACAACCCATACTCCTGGAAGCAATAAGGAGAAACCAGTTAAAAGCAGGGTAAACAAGTTGTAATGATTCAATTAACCATATATTACTGATATATTACAGCCTTAATCAGCTTACAAGATAGTTGAGAAACAATGATGTAGTTTTCTGTAACATTATAGTTTCTTTCACAATATCTAAAAGCAGATGTGAACTAGCCTTTGTAGCATCCAAGGAAACAAATGAAAATGCTTGTACGGCCTTTAATTTTTTTTTTTTTTTGTCAAACCAGTAAGGCCTATATAACAAGTCCACATTCGGGACCACTTGTCATTCAAACTAAAGAAATCTAATCTGAATTGGATTAAGATGAACAACTCCTTCATCGGAAAAATTAAAAAGTATCATTTTTGACATTCATCGAACTAACCAAAAACAGATCACAGTGGTGTACCAATAGAAACGGCTGAGACAAGTATTCCCCGCCAGAGGTCTCTAAGTTCGTCAAACCTGAACTCTATATGCCAAATAGCCCCCGTGAATCCTACCAAAATGGCAACATACAATGTGTGGAGGGACATGACTGGGATGGTCCACTGAATTCCCATGTGGCATCGATTATTTAGAGGCCTTTTGACCTGGATAACTACAAATCATACAAGACAGATTGTGTAAGACACAGGCATTTGAAGTGGATATCCAAAGTATTTATCAATTCAGAGAGCCTTACAAGCAGCCCCAGCAATCCATGGCATGAGAATTAGTGGAAGAAATATATAAGACCTGATTGGTGGTAGACACCTCCTGAAAGATTAATTGCACATAAGTGGAGCACAAACCCAACACAAATGCAACCTAAATCTCTTTCTTAATCGGTTTTGGTTCTACAGCTTAATTTTCTCATTAAATACTTGACGAGTTGCAGCCCAATTGTAATACTGAGCTTTATACTGCAACAATAATTTCTCAAGTACGTAAAATGTATGCTTACTTTACAAAAATGTAATACAGTTGGAAGGCCTGTGATATGCGGCAGCTCAGTAGTAAACCAAAGCCAAGCGGAGCTTCAATCCAGACTGAAAGCAAAAAGATTCTTCAAAGAGTACACAAAACTATAAATTTCACAAACGAGAAACTGTACGATTAACTTCAAAGTCATGATAAAATGAGTAAACAACCTCCCCAAAAATAGCAAGAATGCCACCAATATGTCTTCTTGAATTTCAGAAAAGTGAGAGACATCTGCAAGAAACATGCTCTATTTATAAATGGTAACAAAAGAGCCCCACAACACAACTTATAAAAGCTGAAGTTATTAAGACCAGTATTGATGGGTTACTGAACATAGAAATCGATAATTACCACAAGCGACAACAGAAGGTTTAAGCTGGCATAAATTTGAATCACTGGAATCCAAAAGCTACTGCGTTTCGGAAGAGGAATTTTGAGAACGGCAAAGGGCAAGATTACCCGTGAAAGAAGCCTGAAAGAAAGAAACCAACAATACAAAAGGACTGGAGTTAGTATATGAGCGAGTTTGGTCAGTGTTAGAGTATAGTAATCATAGAATAACTCAGACACATGAGCAAACAAATCAGCAGATACAATCCGGAAATTCTATAATTTCTTTCCATTCATTCACTATGAACAATGAGGTCAACAACTTTGCTTATCAGACTTTGAACATCAAATTGTACTTCTTGCCAAACTAACTAACTCATAGAAAGCTAAAGGTTATAGAATTGTTACCCTATTGCTAATTTCACATGGAAATTTCAAATCTTCTGCTTTAACTCAAATTTCTCTCTGAGACATAAAAGATCAAACAGAAACCCAGCAAGCAGTATCTTAAAACAAAACCCACCAAAGCAAACTAATATGCAAACAACCAAGACAACCCATTAAACTGTGATGAATTTAATCAGATATAGACACCCACTAGAACCAGAAAAACTTACAGAATGAAGCAGACGGCGGATATGGCGACGGCCAAGTAGTCGCTGGCACAGCCACCTTCCACTGCGCAGCTTGCCATTTTCTTTGCATTTACCCAACAGGGTAGTTCGAGTTTTACCCAGTACGTTTTTAGGATCCGAAATCAGAAGAATTTAGGACGCCCCGCCCAACAAGTCACCAGCTCCAAGGCTCGTCCTTTTTCTGGTGGGGTGCAATTGGAAAATGGCGGCTTGGTGTTCGAACATGATGTTTGACCAGAAGGGAACAGTGGAAATATTGTGTTCGTTTGTTGACAAAATCGAAGACTCGAAGATTGCAAAGTGTACACGTGAATGGTTAAAATGCCCATCACTGCTGCCGTGAAAAACACACCAGGTTTCTTGTATAGAGAAATTTTTTATCGTGATCAGAACACTCTGATGATACATAACTTGTTTTTATAGAAATTGTAAGAAATTTTATTTTTGAAGTTATTAATTTTTTAACACATATATCCTATAATTTGTATAGTGATACGTGATGTATCACCCCATTTACCAGTCACATTGAAAAATCTCTCCTATGGATGAAGGGTGGATCCCATCGCTTGTCTTGCTGCGAGAATTTTTCATTGTGACTGAAACACAAGTGGTACATCACTTATTTTTACTAAGTGGTGGAAAATTTTATTTTTTAAGTTATTAACTTTTTAACATATAAATTTCACAATTTGTATAATGACACGTAATGTACTAACTCGTGTTCCGGTTGAAAAATGCTACATAGCCTACATTCTCAAAGAGATCAGATTTACGCGTATGAAGGGTGAATTACGTCATTGGTCTGATCACATTTACAAGGTACGAATTTTTTTTTAATTGAGATGACAACTTATATTAATAAGTATATTCACACGTTCTTGACTATAATATTTGTTGTTAATAAATTAATAAAAGTAAATTTGTTTCAATGATTCTATCAGTCGGCTAATCACAAGGTAATCGTCCATTGAAATAAGAGCCAACTGCCTTTCGTGCTTCTTTTAATGATTCTATCAATACCTTACTTTACGTCATTGTCAATAATATATCAACATATTTGTCAATGAAAGTTTATGTGAAATAAATTATGGACAAAGATTATTTGCCCTCTTATTTCTAATGGTCCTTCGTACTTTTATATTTGTGTGATCACGGTTAAGTTACGTCAATATTTTATATTATTATTTATTTTTATTTTATTATTTCTATAAAAAATAATATAAAATATTGACTCAACTTAATTATGATCACATAAAACAGAAGAGCACGAAAGGACATCGAAAATGAATGGGCTGACAACCCTTGTCCATAAATTATTGATGTTCCATCCGTTAATTAAATATTTTTTTCGTGATTTGGCCGAGAGTAGTTGAAAGTTGAAATATGGTGTAGAAATGATTATGACAGATGAGTTGACCAGTTCCATTCAAAAGTTGCATTAGCATTCAATCGGGTTGAGCATATAAAATTAAATAAAAGCATTCACTTAATGAAAAAAAAAATTAACAAAATACTCAATATACATCACTCTCCTAGAAAAGGAAAAATCAAGGAGTAACACATCAAAATTGAAAAGAAAAATAAAATGAATTAAAGAATAACAAGAAAAATATTGTTTTTCTCTACTCCGATCAATGCTGCATTGTAGGAAGGAAGATTATCTACCATCCTATTCTCATTCCCTTACATTCTCTCATCTCACAAATTATTTTTTGTCTTATTATCTTCATAAAAAAAATCAATATAAGATGTTGACGTGACTTAACCGTGGCTGTTCAAATAAAAAGGCATGGAAAGGTAAAGAATCCTCCTCCGCATTGTAGAGCAGGAGGGTAGAGAATCCTCCTCCTCCGCATTGTAGAGCGTCGTGTGTTTCTTGTCTTGCAAGGTTCTTTCGAAAGCCAATGGGCAAAAACCTAACAACCGCAGCAAATAAGCCACTTACTCTGCATCCACAAAGTGAAGATATGATAATTAATTGAGATATTCAATCAGGTTAATCAGAATTTAGAAGTATGAACAGACTTAATTTGTGAAATGATTAGGCATGGATATCATTACCTTTTTGGGGAGCTTATTATATTTGCCACTTTTTTTACGGGAAGCATATTTTTCTGGGGCCGCTGCTGCAACAATCAATGGAGTTCCACCAGACTTTCTGTCATCTCTGGCCTTGTTGAATATGACTGTAAATCCTTCAGCTGATGCCGGATCGTTCACATCCCACTCCCCAAATTTTGGTAGAGCTCCTCCTATCCCTACTGCCGCCCTTCCCTTCTCATACTGCAATTTATATGGCAAACAAACAATGTTATTCATGGAAACAACTTCCTGTGTAATAATCACACATATGATATTAATTTCTGTGACTTTAGACTTCGGCGTCCATTTTTTCTGTAAAAGATGTATCGTTACTTACGTGTTATCGATATAAAATCCGTCATTTCCTTGAACCTAAAAGACGTGCATCATGCATAGATAATAGAAAAGCCCCTACAACCCTAAAATCAGGAAAAAACATGAAGGAAAAAAAAACTTACAGCTGCCATTGATAGGTAAATCTGGGGAGATTAAAATCAATTCACAGAGAGGCTTCAAAGAATCTCAGAGATTATGAGTTACTATTTGATTGGAAAATGATTGAGATTATTCATATATAAAGAGATATTAGAGAGTGAAAAAGCAGAAAAGAATAAGGTCGAATGATTCGGTAATTCCCAGATCGATCGAGTAGAAACAAACATTGCCGTTTGAAAAAGCGCGTTTTTGGTCAATGGCTTCTTCTTCAGCTGCTTGATTATCCAAAACGCTGGCGTCTTGTTTCCTCCTACTTAATTTGATGATTTTTAAGCAAACGCTTGCGTCTTCCAAACTTCGATTAAAGCTGTTGCAACTTGCAACACTACTCGCGGTTTCAATTCTTGTTTTTATTGGTCAACGGTGTCAATATTTAGATAAACAGATTTTTGTTCCTTAATTCGTGTTTGATTTTGTTCGTTTTTATTTGAACTTGTTAGGATTAATTATCAGCGGTTTAACTGGCTACATGGTTAGAAGAATGTACTTATCACAACCATAGCATCTTGTGTTAATCATATAATGTCATCAAAAGACGACGGATTGAGTATCGATGTATTTGTGTCATTTAAGTTGCTCATCTCAAAATTTTAATTTTAGTAATTTACAGCATGAAAATTTTAAATGGTATAAAAAAGATGACAAAAGTTATTTTAAAAGTACAAAATAGGTAAAAAATATAGGACTAAATAATAAAAAATCGATAAAATCGTTCTATTACTATGTTAACATTACTAGGTTACTAAAACATGAGTATGAACTACTTATAACCGAAACTTGTCAATATAATAAATCGTTGTGCAAATATCGTCTTTGTAAAAAAAATTAATTAAAACTAAAATCGTTTGGTCAAGTAAATTATAAGATCATAGAATGATGGATAATTATATGGACTTAAAATTATTTTAAATATATGTAAATATTGAGAAGGAACTTATTAAGCCCTAAATTTAAATGTCCTTTATTCATCATACAAGAAATTAATCACGGCCCCCAGTAGGCCAGTAGCAACACCTGAGGCAGGCGGGTGGAACTTTGCTAACGTCGCAGTCGCAGCAGGCCTCGCCTTTTTTACACCCCCTCGGCATGCAAGCTGCAGATCCACGTACGATTCCAACCACAAAATTAATTAATCCATGCATCCAATCAAAATATAGAAAATAAAATGTAATTACAAACACTTGAAAACGAAGGGAAAGTGAGAGAGAAATCATAAGAACACGTACGATAGACAACGATATCACCAACTAAAGGAACATGTTTGGCGCTGACGATCAGTGGCATGCGACTGCTGGTGGCTTCTGCTAATTTGATTTGGCCCATTTGATGATCAGCCATGCAGAGGAAACAAAACAACACGAAGCTGATTACTGCCACCGTCTTCATGTTCATCTTGATGATTGTTCTCTTAAGTTTTTTCTAATATTATATTAGTATCAGAGAATTAGTGCACGCTTAATTATAATTTGGTTTGCATTTCTCTCTATTTATAGCTATAATTCTTCTTATGCGTGTGACCTTGGTTAGTAAGAAGAAAAAAGAAGACCTATAAAAATAAAAAATAAAAAACAAGAAAAAGGAATCTCTGCAGATATTCTGCATTAATGAAAAAGTCTACAAGGAGAGAAAAGAACCAAAATATTTAATTACTTGCCTTGTATTTAAGTATGAAAAGGATTAGTTGCCTTGTTTGATTAATTGCTTACCTTAATCAAATGATGTATTTTTGCTCATCGTCATGTTTATCACTATTGAATAAGTTTAAATTTTAGAATTTGTGTCTACGCATTACACAAATCTCAAAATTAACTTATCGAAAAGTAATAAATAAGGTGATGAGCAATACCATAACTTGAATGTAGTTTCACAAGAGATCTCATATTCGAAATTTGGTCAACTAGAGATCGAAACGAAAGTTTCCTAATAAAAGCTGGGACGCCCCTTTTTTTTTTCTTTTTTTTTTTCAGATACCAAAATTGACTCATAACTGGTGTGGAAGTTGCTGAAGTTTGGAGCATAACTGGTTTTGAGGTTTGGTTTAGGAAATTAGTTTTTGGAATTGGTTTTCGGATAGGAAAATGCTAGGGATCACAATCTGGTTCACGATACTTTGGATGAAATTGAGAAAAAAAATTGGGATGTGCTATCCCTTTTTTACTTCATACGCATCCTCTTAATTTGCGGTCCTCAGATTGATTGAATTAAAGAAAATTATATATCATAAATTAATAAGGAGCGTTTGAAAAATAAAATAGGGTGTGAATAGCACACCCCAAAAATTATCTCAAATCCAATGGCACTTACGCATAAAATTGGAGCAAAACACTGACGAAGTGAATCAAAATTTGCACCAGAATAGTTCTACAATTATATTAGTTGAATACACTGTTAGACGGTAGTAAACCCAAATCTCGCGTGGTTAATGGAAGTAATACGTTTTACTGATAGTGCCTCACTAGTTATACACTCCTCAAGTTACAAGAAAAACCATGTACATTTCTGGTAAGTGTGACAGTGGCAGTCTTCTTATATCATCCGTGATGAATCTGATCGGTAACGCCATAACATCCCTCCAACCAAATTGTTGACTGCATGAGAAGCCATTGGAACGATAAGGCTAGAGGAGACAATGGTTGCATGACCATACACAAGACCCACAAAAGTTGGCCTGAAGCACGTTTTACCACAAAATCATAACTAAGCTCGAACGTAGTTTCATGAGAGTTCATCGGCATAAATATACGCGAAACATGAAATGCAAAAAAGAAAGACTGTCTAACAATGGCATGAATGAAGTATTTTTGAAGTGTTAGAGATAAGAGGATAAGTACCAGACAGCAAAGGAATACTTTCGGCCACTGCCCAGGTGTAGAACACCAAAAATGATGGCGACTATCAAGGCGCTCCTCCAATTGGATCCAAAAAGTGGTAGCAAGGCACCCCGAAAAAGAAGTTCCTGTCCATCCAGTGCACGATGAATTAATGCAAAATTAGCTGACCAGAGCAGAATTGAACAACACTACTATCTGGTTACAAGTATTAGCTACCCTCGCTGACCCCGGGCAAAAATGCAACGATTATGTAATCCAAAGGTTGAAGTGATGTAAGGACCTAAGTTACAGGAAACGGATTGTGTCGGAGATGCGGAATAAACTATGGACAACACCATCAATAAAAACGATGTCTTCAAGCAGCAATGTGGGACTGAATTACCATATTGACAGAGACGACTATTGACTACAAATTGTTTGTGGTAAACTCTTCCGAATCCTTGCAGATATACAGCTAGAACAGAAAGTAGATACCTGCTGATTGGCTGCTTCGCTGGACTCTGCGAAATCCGGCCATGTCTTCAATAATAGATATCGGCTAAGTGATATCAGAATGACCAGTCCCGAAATCAACTCAAGATGCCACACCTCAAAATCAACTGGACACGATGGGAGAAACTGAGTTATGCTCTTGAAACTAATGAAGCAACTAAATCCAGAAAAAAGACATAAAAATACGAAACATAAAAGAAAACAAAGAAGAAGGCAATAAAAAGTATTGTACTGTAAGATTTGGGACTGAAACAACCCACTCTCGACAAATCTTGCTTCGGTAACAGCTTATAGACTGTCTTTGCCAAGGATTCACGTGTTGCTTCTATGAAAGAGAATAAGAATAAAATTTTCACTACGAATTCTTGCATCGAGATAGTATGTGAATGTTCATACATGATACTTCCAATGAGCAGTCAAAGACCGGCAATCCTTCAACTGATGCAACATGAGATGCCTGCAAGTTGCAGATAAGAAATAGAACTTAAAATGCAGATTACTTACCAAGTTAAGCAAAGCGCCAACCATATTTTTTATGCCTGTCCATCCAATGCAGGATGAACTAATTGCGTGAATCAAAAAATTCATAGGAGGCATCGATTCAGGAACATAGTAAAAGATTACTCCTTTTTGTCCAAAAAATCACGGGTTCGAGACATGAAGACAACATCTTTGAACCTTAGCAAAGCGAAGAATCTCGTTGACTTGAGATCGTCATTTATTGAACAGTTAAAACACCTCCCGAAAGACTAATAAAGGTGTGTGAAAATCAATTCCCTGTCTAATGAGAAATGCCGAAAGTTGAGAACTGCCTCAGATTTGAGGTTCATCCGTGATATACCAAACTACGATGAAATAAAACGAAAACGTGAGTCGTGACAACGTGGAAAATTTTCCACCGGATTTTTGATTTTCTGCAACCTAAAAATGTGATTGCAGAGAATTTGAATTTGGGGATGGGACATATATGCAAATGTGAAAGAAAAAGAAATGACAAAATGTGTATGATACAATTTGCTTGCACACCCTAATGAGGAACAATCACAAACTTGGTTACAAAATGGTTCCTAGCAGCCACAGATGCAAGAAGAGCCAGTAGGCGATCAGCCCGAGCCTTGCCCTCGGGCGACTCATCAAAACCCGACCGCCGGATACCCTGCGTATAGAGATCAGAAAAGCTAATTAGAATCAAGTAAAATAAGACCCCATTGGAAAGTGGCAGACTGCATTGATCAAAACAACGACTAAATATGCGGAGCAAGATGTTAGGCAGCTACTAAGGTTTTCGTGTAATGTGGTTTCGAAAAAAAGCAGGTGAAAAGAAGAAGGGGTTTTGATGTTTTCCACCCGACCCTCTTGTTTATATAACGAGTTTAAGCTCAAGAGTTTACCAAATTCCATCGATTCGATCTGCAATCAACTTTCCTTGTCTTGGTACGAGACCAGATGCATTGAGAGATTTGAATACATGACCTGCAAAAGGACGAGAAAACGAAAACAGAAGAAATAAGTTTACCAGGCGTTAAAAAGTGTTTGAAATGACAGACAAATCGTAATGTGCCCACCCTTGTCCTCATCGGTTTCTTCATTGTTGATTAAACGAGTAGATTCAGAACCAATTTCAATTGCGAGATGTTCAGTTGAACCCTTCCGCATAGTTCGCACATGAGCTGCTGATTGGACAGGAGATATTGCGTTCTTTCCATGCGATCCCTGAAAAAAAAATTTTATTTACTAAGTTCAAATCTTACAAGTATCCTTAGTCCATACAATCACAACTGATATTGCTCAGCATGCAACTAACAATAGGCACCGTAATGAGCCTAAACCTCAACCATGTACAGAAGCTTATATTATATTTACTGGAAAACACCTCAACTTAACTGGAATATCTTGTAGCATATATCAAAATGTTCAAAAGGAATCAAATGATAACCACGCAGAAAGACGGGAATTATCAAGGAGTCATATATATAAACATTTACCCCATCTTCAATTTCAGATATATCTGAACCAGTAGTAGGTGCTTCAAAGATACTCCTTTCCTGGACAATCTCTGGCTGAGCAGCCCCCCCTTGAAGTGAATTAACCTTGGTCGATAATTCCTCCACGACCTTTTGGCTCTCGCCCAACTTAGTACCAAGTTCCTGGGCTTTTGATTTTGAACCTTCAGACTCCAATTGTAAATCCCTAACCTGCTTCTCCAATACTGATAGAAGTCCAGTCACACCAGAAGATTTCTGGTCTACAACTAAATCACTACCTCCTGACATATCTATAATTTTTTCCAAACTATATATGAGCACAGACAATTCATTTTTCATCTTCTCTCTATCTTGTCTATCTCTATCGTAACTTTCAGCCTCCTCCTTCAATTGTTCAATTTCGAGATTCCTAGTCCCAAGAGTTGACTGCAGCTCTTCATTTTCATAAGACAATAAGTTTATCCTATACTGAAGGTCAGTAATATTATCAATAACGTAAAAGAGCTTCTTCACATGAACTGAATTGTGGGCCTCCAAGTCTCCTCCATGCGACTCTGGGATTTCAATCCTGCCGATCTTGTCAAAAAGAGTTTTGATTTCAGATGCTGACAGGAGTGAGTCTTCAGCCCCTGAAACAAGCAATGTGAACAAATAAGTCATCAGAGCACTTATCATCACTACAACTGTACAACAGCAAAGTAGTAAGAGGATAAGAAATAAAAGAAAAGATATTCACCTTGTTCTTTCATCGACAAAGCATTGCGCAGTGATAAAACTTCCACCTCTTTTTCATTAAACTTATCCTCTTGGGATTGATAATCCTCTAGTCTAAGTGTCAGCTTACTGCACGAATTCTGTAATGCTTCTACATCAGCATCCAACTTGGAAATCCTATATTGTCCTAGATCCCTTTCTTCAATGGCTTTCTTAGAAATCGTCCTAGCTTCTGTCAGTTTACACTGCAGATCTTCAATTGTAGAGGCTGCCACTTTACTTGTTCTCTCAAACTGTTTAATCAAAGCTTTAACTTTTCTAATAGAAACATACAACATTTCTGCAGTTTTTCCATATTTGCTGTCCTGTAGACCTTGCTCATCTGTTTCTGTGGTCTCTTCACTGATTACTGTTTCCTGGGGCAAATTATGTTTCAATTTTTCAAGCTCAGGAACAGAGCTCAGTTCAAGTAAATTGTTCTCGACTCCAAATTGAAGTTCTCCGATAGCAGCGGTACAAGCAGAAAGTAGAGACTTAAGATCATTTTCTAGTAAGGCTATTGTATTCTCCTGTTCCTGTTTACATATTTCCAGATTAGTTGCTTGTTGTTTGACAGACTCCATGTTCTCGAACCTAGCTATTACTTCATCCCTTACTGCCTGTAGATTTCTCAACAGATTTGCAATAAACCCATCTACAGAAGAAGATAAACATTCAAAAATTTCTGCAAGAACATCTTCTCGCATCTGGAACCTTTCCACAGTCTGCTTCAAACATGAAGACATATCAGCATCTGCAACACTGGCCTCACCAGTAACCTTTTCCACACTGGATATAGTATCAATGCCATCTGAGAAAGACTTTGTCACATATGAATCTTCCTGGATTAAGTAATAAAAGGAGCTCATTAGAACAAAATTCTAGCTCTTCTTGAATACATCATACATGCAGAAAAGGAGCAATTTTCACAAATATTTGGGGTCATTGGGAACACATCACAACGACATTCTAATCATAAAGGACTTTGATATTATCAGAGCCGTAAAATCTAATATCATGTTTTATTGGCATGTAAAAGTATTCAGAACTATTAGCAAACATATTCTTCACAGGCAAAAGTATGAAATTGAAAACAAAAGAGAGAATATAACAAGAAGAAATAGGAAAGCTCTAAATGCAAAATGGCTTCTGGTCCACCAGCATCTGCATGGCATGCACGAAAGAAAAAAAAATAAAGTGAACGGCAAGGTAGAAAACTTTGTCCATCAAACAGCATATATACCTCCAACACTTGATGTCTTTGCAGCTCTTCTGAATTCATGGAAACACAATTGTCCTTTATATTTCTAAGAATGAGGTCCACATCTTTCAGGCTCTCAAATTTCTTCTCGAAACATCTTTTCATAGTGGCCAACAGAGTATCATCTTTCATTAGCAGGTGAAGATTATGAAGGTGGCCACTTAGCTCTATGGACCTGCTTTCTGTGCTGCAATTAGTTCCAGACAACTCTTCGTCTTGTGTATTTAACTTGGAATAAAGTGTCAATATTTCGTCTTCAGCATTTTTCTTTTCACCTTGAAGGACAGAAATATCATTCTCAGCCTTCAGCAATGCATCTTCCAGTGATTTTATGGTTGCCTGGGCATCTGCTAGCTTGTTATCGTGGATCCTAGCTTCCTCTTGCAGTTTCTTTAGTTCAACCTCTAAATTGGTCCTACCAATGTGAACTTCATTGTTTTGTTCGGTAAGCAAAGAAACATTGGTCTGTACCAGTGATAGGGAATCTTCAAGTAACTTTATGGCCTTATTGGCCTCTGTTAGTTTGCTAGTCTGAGTATCAACTTCCTCTTTCACTTTCTCTAGCTCTGTCTCTGCAGAAGCTCTACCAACTAAAGCTCCTTCTTTTTCACTAACAAGCACAGATATACTATTTTCTGCAATTGATAACGCCTCTTCCAGTGACTTTTTAGATGCACAAACTTCATTGTACTTGCTAGCTTGAGACATAGCTTCCTCAATTGCTTTCTCCAACTCTTTTTCAACATTGGTCTTACCCAATTCCATTTCCCTCTTTTGTTCAGCAAGCAGAGAAATATCACTCTCTGCAACCGACAATTCATTTTCCAGAGACTTTAAAGTTGAGTGAGCTTCTGCTAACTTACCAGCCAGATTATTGACTTCCTCTTTTACTTTACTCAACTCATGCTCTGCATTTTCCTTGGCATCCTGACATTCTCTTATGTATCCTGCAATGAAATTCACCTTCCCCACAGGCTCTTCAAAAATTGAATCGACAGGAAGAGCAATGCCATCAATACATTCAATTACTCTCTGTAACATGTTATTACTCTCCACTAAGAACTGTTCAAGTTGATCCCGTTGTTCCTTCATAGCAACTAGATCAGCATCTAACTTTGGGATGCGGTGTACATCAGCAGACAAACTACTTATCTTGTCCCTGCATTCAGCAAGTGCCAACTGTTCCTGCTGTAACTCAAGCTGTAACTTCTCAATTTCTGATTTCTTGTCATCCAAAAGATGTTTCAAGTTTTCCCGGTCTTGAACCAGTCCCTTACCTTTCTTGACTGCCATGGATAACTTCTCCCTTAGCACAGTATTTTTCTCCTCTGATCGTTCAAAATCTCTCTGCAGGTTCCCTTTTTCCTCTTCCAATGCTGCAAGTTTTTGAGATACAGCCCGCAACTCATTTGACAGGTTATTCACCTCTGACCTCACCAGTGTCTCCTCTTCTAGTAAAGTCTCACACAGCATCAATTTCTGATCCCTTACATACAGGTGGCTTTGAATTGTTTCAAACAACTCAGCATCAACCTTTGGAGAATCAAGTGAGGCATTACTCTCTTCTTTTATCTTCCCAATGCATCTGTCAACAAGCAAGGCAGGGTCCAACGAAGGTTGATAGACCTCTTCATTGTCCACTACAACTCCTGAGACATCGAGTAACATTCTGACCATATCAGCCTTCTCTGAAGACACCTGTTGCTCTTTCTTGACAATCTCTTGGTA